CCCCCCCATCATGCATCCTCCGCTCTTAGTTGTTAGTAGCGCAGCAACGGTCTGATCTGTTGGAAGCGTTTGCCAGTGTGTGCGATAGGTGGCTGGGTGGCCCTGCTTCGGCTGTGACCGACCAGGCATGGCAGGACGGGTCGTACGGTGGAGACGTCCCACGACGGTGGCCGCCCTCGCATCTGAGTGCGGACCAGCAACGGTTGGCCAGCGAAGGTAGCCTGACGCTCGACTCCGATTTTGGTCGTTGGGGAGTGCGTGTCTCGCGCCTCATTGGCGGCCTGCCCGGCTACAGACTCACCCGGGGCGAACGCTCGGGCTGGAGCGACCCGCCCGCGGACCGATCTCCAGAACCAGTCGGCCAACCAGAAGGATCCGACCACCCAGAAGGTCAAGAAGGAAGACAAGAAGTGAGCCAGCAAAAAGGAGAGGACCAACAAGATGTGGCTGAAGGTATTGATGTTTTACGCGACGGCCAAGCTGACGCTCAGTCCCATGAAGCTCGGCCACAGGACGCTCCCGGAGGCCCCCAAGAAGGACCCATGGTTGGAGACCCCATAAGTCAAGACGAGACGGGTCAAGACCAGCCGAGGGATCGTGGCTCCGGGTTAGAGGGGCCGGCTGAGGTGGATGTATGGCGGCAGAAACTGGAGGAGTTGGCGCCGCCAGGCATGGCGCCGCGGGGCGTGCCGCAATGGACGGGGTTGATGAGGCGGAATGAGAAGAAGTTGCTGCGTGTGCAGGCGTTCCACGGTGTGGGTGTGCCAATCGGGTCGATGCTAAGTGACAGTGTGTCAATTACATTACGGTCACCGTACGAAGAGTTACTTAAGAAACGCTTCCTGTCACTCGGTTTCCTGGCTCCGGCACCTGGCCAGAACTACGCCAACTTCCGGGAATACATTGCCTATTTCGAGGGCAAGAACCGAGCTGGTGTTGCCAAACAACTCGAACATAAACGACTTGTCTACGTCCTACCCCACTCCGCCCCTGGTCTCGCCCAGGCGCTGACCGCACTCCAACTCTCTCCCCCCATTGACTCAGGTCCGGACGAAACAACGTCCGGCGGCATGCCCCATCTGGTCATCGTCATGACGGCACTCCCGCTAGACGATTGATTAGCTATAGCTAGTTAGACATATGCAACAGGTCGGTTAGCACTGACGGTACTCACCAACGGTCGCGATAGCGACGACCTCCTTGCCCAGCACGTTACCCGGTACGTTGTCCGTGCGAATGCACAGGCGGCGTTCGGTCCGCCTCCAGAGCCGGCCGCAGCAGCCGAAGACGACGCAATCGGAGGACTCCGTCTACCAGAATTCTGCCGGCCAAAACTCCGCAGGCGGTTGTCTGTCATACTAGACGACGTCGGAGAGAGAGATCTCGACGCCGGAGAGAATTTTCGGAATAAGCCGTCGCCGCAGTATCCAGCAGTCCGACTGCCGCCGTACGCACCAGGCAGGGTTGGTCGACAGGTCGTTGGTGGGGGGCTGCATCAAAATAGGGTCACGCAGGGATGGGTTTTTTACAATAAAGCAGTGAATGCGTGAATGCGTGTGATGCAGTCATGAATCTCAGGGAGAGCGCCAATGCCGAAGACACCGCAGGCGAGCATCTTGGAGATCGGCGGCACGACCTGGAACCCCCAGGTATGGAGGACATCCAGATGTTCCTTGGTTACCGGGTGCTCCCACATTTTGGTGTTCATAGAGGGAAAGACCATGCACGGCTTGGAGAAGTCCCACGCGCGGGCGCAACAGGAGGCCAAGTCGTTGGCTAAACCGTGACGAATCTTGGCCAGGAAGTCCGCGGAGGCCGGAATCACGACCAGGGCGTCTGCTATGGTAGTCAAGTGGATATGCCACACCACATCCCCTTTTCTTTGCCAACGCTGCTCCAACTCGTCTTCATATATGTTCGCTTCACCGGCAAGCTGCTGCAGTTCATATACTGGGGGGGAAACGAGTCAGTGTTCTGCTACCCTTGTTTGGCGTGGACACGAGTTCTAGACTCGCTGCAGGACACGCGCACAGGGTGTCTTATCGCACACACGCAAAGGGTGCCTCTTTACCGCTTATAAACCGTTTGGCGGCTTCAGTTAAGACCAAGTGTATCTCGTAGTCCGCACATAGCTTCTGAACGACTTGGGGAACTTTTGTGGTTGCAACAGAGCCGGTAGTTATTACCAGTAGCTTGTTCATGCTTTGCAAACAATGCACCTCACGTCTACCTTGCCCGACGCGCTTAGAAAGGTAGAAGCTGCCCGAGAACGCGTCCAGGAAGCCACAGCCAAGAGTGGTGAGACGATTCTCAAAGCTGCGGAATCGCTCTGGAAAAAGGAGATTGAGAAGCCGCCACACACATTTGCCCCCCGGGACACACTATTAGCCATGGTCCTCCCCAGTCCTCCCTCCTCGCCGTTACCACTATCCCGACCGCTAGGTAAAAGGAAGAAACAAATTACTGAATGCTCCCAGATAAGCATCATTCGAAGCTCCGTCGGGTACTCCCCTAAATTCAAATGCATCAGGGGCAGAGCCAGAGCCAGCGCCCCCACCTCTAAGACGGCTCTTTGGGTGAAGGCCAAGCCAGGCAAGAATGTGTCTTACAGTGGCCAACAAACGGACAACGCAAAAGAATCGGGGGGTGAGGCCGCTACTACGAATGCCAACACGAACACACCCACAGCTGGACCCCATGCCGCTCCAGTCCCTGCAGCTGAACAGCACCCTGGCCCTCAACTCACTCACCCTCGACCCCCTGGCCCTCGACTCCCTGGCCCTCGAGCTGAACTCCCTGGCCCTCGAGCTGAACTCCCTGTGCAGAACCTCCTTGCTGCCAACGCACCGACCATCCCGTTGCACAGGACTCGCTCCCGCCGAGGGACTGTGCATCTTGCAGCGAGACCTCCGGCAACGTCGGATCCCGAACTCACCCCATTCAATAGCTACGAACTACACGATTCCGGGCACCCAGATAAGGACTCTGCCCACCACCAGAACGCTGACAAAGTCTGCGACCAAAGTACCGACGATCTCAGTGCCGACTATCAGTGTACCGCCACCCCGTTTAGTCGCAGCTTGTGTGTGCAGAACCCACGCGGTTACGACCAGCTGATTAACCAGTTTACTCCAGACCAATCGACCAGGACTACCGGGCAGTCAGCTCCTACTCACAAGGTGCCTAGTCAGCTAGCACGTAAGCAGTCACTTCTTGGCCAACCAGCCCCTCGGAGCATCCCCGTTGTGGAACTCAAGGCGTTCGAGGATTGTTGTGGACTGGTCTCTACGCGATGCGGCAGCAGTTATGAATCCCACATTTATTCGGACGAGTTCAGACGGTTAGAACGCAGTGAGAAAAATGCGGCTTCTGGCACGGCGTCTCCGGTAAGAAGCCTACCTGTCGGCGCCTTCACCCCAGGCCTTCTGACCCGAGCCTTTTTCTCCAGCGCAAGGACGGGCGAAGGGGAGGTGAGCAAAGACGGTTCCCCTGCCGGTGGCACCTCCCCTACCAACGACGCTGTCGTTGGGTGGACCGGGACGGCTGGGTGGACCGGGACGGCTGGGTGGACCGGATCCCGTGGCAAAGGACCGCCGTCCCAGGCGGAAAGCTCTCACGCGGGAGGTTCTCGTGCCGAAGGGTCCCGTGCGGAAGAGTCGGCGTCCCATGCTTCGTCCTGTCGGCATTCTTCATCATGTACGTCCAGCAATTTTTCGGCCAGTCGGCCCTGGACCAAAGAGCAACGAGCAGCACAGCTTGCTTCGATCAACAGCATTTTGGACACACTGCAGAAACGACTTTTCAATGTCCCCAACAGCAACTCGTCTTGGATACCGTCACAACCACATGACCCTGCCACTTCCCAGGACCACTGCACGCAGGAACATTACACGCCGGACCATTGCACGCAGGACCGCCCAGCATCAAAGACTCCACGGAAGTCAGTGAGTGATCGAACGAGAGTTCGGAGTTCACCGAATACTGGACCCAGGGGTCCGTACGAATGCCGGAACAAGCGTGCGGACCTCTGTCCGGACTTTTGTGTCAAAACTGTTCCTCCATGCGGCTTGACCGCCAGTTCCGCAGCCGGATCGATGTCGAGCAGAGGCGAGCAGTTGAGTTGGGCCAGCATCCGATCCAACTCATCGTCAAGCAACGAGACGGGATTGGACAGACTCACAGAGGACACGCAGCACGTCCTGGAAATGCTGCGCCGCATTCCTCACCTCTCCAGCACGCCAGGGAAGGTGTTCGAGAAGCAGTCGCGGACTCGCACCCCCTCTCCGTTACGGCGACAAAACTGGCTTCGCACTCCGCAGTTCGGACCACCCCAGTTTGGACCACCCGAAATCGGGCCGCCCTCTTCGCCCTCACGGATCGCTCCCTACCAAGACTCAGGAGGAACACATAATCCTGGGCGAACACGTCACTGGGAACATCACCGGGAACATCACCGCGGAGGAACACATCATGGGGGGTATCACCGTGTAGTGCCTTATGAGCAACTTGAAAGGATGGGCGCCGTCTGACCTGTGATGCTAGCATGGTCATGCTTTCCACTTCGCCAGCCTTCCACTTGGCATGCCCCCGGACCGTGATGTTCCAGGTCCCTTGGCGCGTCCTGGCGTTGGCAGCCGCGTGGTCTACTGCCTGGTGTCAACTGCGTGGGTTGTCGCCCAGAATCGTCACCCGGAGTCGTCTAAGCTGAGCATGCTCCGGATCAGGAAGCGTCGGAGTTTATGTCTGTATCTACCGAGCACGCTCTTTGTTGTTGAAAGATCGTCAGTAGAATCATCGATGCCGGCACTTTCAATGATCCCGGCCGATTTCTCGTCGGTAGATTTCTCGTTACTGGAATCATCATCTGTTCTGGCAGGTTTCTTTTTGTCGTTGTCTCGAAGAGGTTTAACGCGCCCTCGTAGCACTTCACTTCTTGGAGTACAGCGGTCGTACATCCATGTGACGGCCTCTACGTGAGGTGTTAGTTTCTGAAGGCCTAGTCGATAGTTGGCGACGGTCATTCGTTGATTCATGGTGCGTAGTTGTTTAACGAATTGTTGTGGGCCGAGACCGCAAGTGCATTTGATAACATGAGCAAATGTTGGCTTAAGATGGTTGCAAAGTTGCATGAAAGCGAAATGCTCGAAGTTATTGTCTCCAACACACGTAAGTTCGTAGTGGTGACTGGGGTTGGCTTCGATGCATTTATTGAACTCATAGTACTTTGCATCACACCAATATTGGAAATACTCCTCTGGATACACTTCTCCGTCGGGTTCCGCGGTGCGCGGTTCCGTCTTGATGATTCCCACCCCCATCTCGTTCAGCGTTTCTGCTAACTTGGGAAAGATAACTCTAAACATCTGCACCCAGGCATAGGACCGAGCATTTGTTACAATGACCACTACGTCATGTTTCGCCTGGATCGTGCGCACGAACTCAATTACCAAGTCATCAATCGTTTCCATAGCGCCTTCTTGTCCCTCCAACTCGCGGGATGAGGAGTCAATCGTCGCCTCTGTTGATGAAGTGGCTGGCGAACGAGTCCCACTGACCTGTGACCCACTGACCTGTGACCCGTTGGTGCTCTTCCTCGCACCCAACTTACGTCCCCCACTCACCAGCCGTTGACCCGCCACAATCCGGTCAAGACCTTGTTTGATAGAACTATAGAGGTACAATTCGTCCGCAGCCGCGGCGAAAGAATGCAACCTCGAAAACTCCGTCCGCAACCACGTCGTCGGGATCAACGTGTCATCAAGATCCAAGAAACAGATGCGCTTGCACTCACTTCCGTTGCAGTCATCTATCGCACGCACACCTTCCTCTCCTTGCTTTTGAACAGGCATCTTATCCACTGCTAACGATGTTCTCTGGTACTTTGCAACTACTGCCCCGTCAAATGGTGCACCTCACAGAAGAAGGGTGCTCCATCCGGGTAACAGCCGGCACCACAATTGAGGGTACCAGAACGGCAGGTCAGGTACCCCGGGCCACGC